GCAAATAAAGTGAAACATTTAGAAAAATATAAAAGTTATAAAAACCAAAGGCTTCAGCATCCATCTTTTGAATGAGCTGAACGTTTTGATTTACTAGAGGCTAAAATTGCACAAAGTTTGCAGAAATAGTCCAAGAGTCAAAGAGCAGAAAGTATTTATTTCCCCTCTTTGTTTACTTTAAGACAAACTCACCCAACCAGATTGATTTGAACCGTTTGTTTTTTGTTTTTCTTTCAGGAAAAAGTGCGTTTGCGCTACAAACTGACTTTCAAGCTGGGCAACAAATGTTACGATGAGTCCGGCGACGTCGACGAGTTCCCCCCTCCGGACTCTTGGGGGAACCTTTAGTGGAGATCGACGAGTCGCCTGTCTTCTGGTCTCCGAGTCGTCCTTCAGRGCCGATTAAGGCCTGACGACTTGATGAAGTGACGGACATGAGAGCAGCTGTGGAAAAACCCCGTTTACCTGGTGCCTTCTTTGTCCATCGTGTCATTGTTGCTGAGTTGAGTATCTTTTCTTTTCTCCAACAGTTCCTTTAAATATGAACTCAAACATCAGAAACCTTTGAGGGAACACGTGAACCTTTAGAAACTGAAACTCATATATCTTTGAGCGAGTCCCACGTTGTGTGAATTAACAGCTGGTGTTGGAGTATTTTTCTGCACATTACAGTACATCTAAATAAATCCCATCACACATGTTATTTTACTTTATACAGTTAAACTTCCTGTCAAGCTGTTCATAGATTTACACACTGACTTTTATCTATAAATAGTTGAGAAATAAAGAGTAATAAAGAGTAATAAATAAAAACTCCTGTTTAACTCCTCTACACATAAATCTGTTCTGGTTTTGAAGAACTGATCTGATTGGTTGTAATCAAAGTATTTTGGAAGCACAAATAAAGAAGTTATTTAATGTTTGTGTTTTTCCACAGCGGATGGTTTGTTTTGTCCAGAAAAGTACAGATTTGAGGTTTTGTTTTATTCAGTCGACGTGCTGAATACCAGAAAATGTTTCATTTTTTATATATTTGTTTGTCCCCACCCTGTGAAGCATTTGATCTTTCTTTCCCTTTGATTTCTGCACTTTTAAGAGACTTTTTGTTTCACTCAGGATTTTCTTTTCACAATTTAAACTCTTATGCACTAAATTTGTTTTTGCACAAATAATCATTCCCTTTCAGTCACTGAGTTTCTTGTCTTTTTACCACTGATTAACCCAAAGAGGGACTCGTGAGGTCCTAAGTTCACGTCACACCTGGTCTGATCCTGCCACATGTGCCTGAGGTTCCAGTTTTTGTTCTGCTCTGTACATAAATGATTTGTTTTCATGTTTGTGTTCTTGTCTGAAAGGACTTTGTCAATTAAATGACATCAGATGCTGTTAAATAATCTTTATAATATCCACAGATGTAACTATGAACACCTCTGAGAAGATTAAAATAAAAGTATATTGGAGAAGGATGGCCTTTGCTTGAAGGTGGAAATAACTTGTTAAACTGCAGAAATGAGTTTTGAGTATTAAAATGTTGACAGCTCATTATCAAACAGATTAAACAAGAACTTTTGTTTTTCTGCTAGAAACTCACTAAAGTCTCCATTTTTGACTCCAAAGCACAAACATTGATCATGAATGTACAGCAGATGGATAGGAGCTTATATAAAAAAAGGTTTTTGTAACGATTTATGATCCTTAGTTCAATGTTCTCAAACAAGTTTCATTTTTGTGAAACTGAGTATAATGTTGAGGTGACAGTTTGCAATGTATGGCACAAAAATGAGCATATATTACATATAAATAACATATATATTTGGGAGTTGTAGAAGGTCATAGCATAAACAAAAACTGAATACTGTGCAAACATTTTGAATAGTCTCATTTCTTCATTTTCCTCTAAAGACAAATCTTGAACACAATGAATGACAGTGCTGGTTTAAAAGTCACTTTATGTTCGTTATATTTTATAAATTGGAAAATTCTGTTTGAACTGATTACTTTTTTAGAAAATTAATAATTGTTGGTAAGACAGGTTTTTCATACTCTTTTCTCTTTAATTTCATGAATTTAAACTCTGAAGGAACCCTCGGAATGTCTTAAATTAATAAAAATAGAATAAAAAAAAAATCTAGATTTTAAATAATGCAAATTTGATCCAAAATGACATTTGTAAAATCTAAAAACATGGGAATTACTTTAAGAATCTTCACAGGATGAGTATATGTATGATTTATTGTGCAGCCCAAAGTACATATTGAGCTGAACCCAAGATCGTAGCATAAAAATATTCTCTGAGGAAAAAAAAAAATCAACCAGGACATCTCAAATTGTTTATTTAGGAAAACACTGTAAAAAGAACACAGGAAATGACAAAACAAGCATCTTTTTTTTAATACAAACTTCATTTAGACCTGAAACACAACAGGAAACAGTAAAGGCATGCATGACTCAACAAATCATTCAATTCTAATACAACAGAGCCTAAAAAATAAGAATCAAAGAATGTTTAAAACTACTAAAAATATCCACAAACAAGTTTGCATGGGCTAAAATATAAGTCACTCTGAACATGAGCAAAGCTTCAGGAGAGGTTGGAATGTGACTGGGTAGGTTTTAATGTTTTTCTTATTGTAGATCTGGGCCTGTTTTTATCAAACTTCTTAGAGTGGATTTTTAGACTTAAGTGTTGAAAATTTATTAGATTTCAGTGAAAGAGGACACAATGCTGTCAAAAGTCTTAATTTTTTTATTTTCCCCTGGTGAAGGTGGATTTTTCTATTATGTTTTCTTTCTTTAACACAAACCTCATGAATTAATTCATAATTAATTTCATTTAAAAAAAGTGTGTGTTTAGGGGGGTGGGGGGTCTCAGATCAAGCAGGTAACAAAGCGGGGTGTGTGTGTGTGTGTGTGTGTGTGTGTGTGTGTGTGNGTGTGTGTGTGTGTGTGTGTGTGTGTGTGTGTGTGTGTGTGTGTGTGTGTATGTGTGTGTGTGAAGGGTGTGTTGTCTGTGGACAATACCTCAGGCTCTGAGACGTAAAATAAGAAAACCTTTAAGCTGCCGTTTTTGAGATAATCTGCAAGCTTTTCTTTATTCATAATATGTAAATTATGACAATCAGCTCAACGTGACCTGTATGAACAATATTGTGTCGAATGTGAACTTCTTTTAGGATTTTCAGTTTTATCTTGACATTTCTCTGAGAATCTTCTTGAACATGAAATCCGATGCAGTGATTGGTCCTTGCCAGGGTTTTGTAGCGATGTCATCAAAGTGTCGTAAATCAGCTCTAAGACACTTAAGATTTACACTTTGTTTAAAGTCAGACTGAGACCCTTGTAAATGACTTCAGTCTCAGCTTTTAGCTAAGTCCATACTTAACAGCATTAAGAGTAATTCTAAGAAGTTATATAAAGGCAGGCCCAGAACCTCAAACTACTGAAGTTTTAACCTTAGTTTGTTTTGACCCAATTTAATAACAACTGACAGCTCAAATTAACATTTTACAGCTGACTGTAGTGATTGTGGTTTATGGTTGTAAGAAGCTAAAGTAAAAATCAATCTGCGATGTGGAAATGGAGATGATTTGATGCATAATGCACGTTATTAAAACCTCCCTGGATCGAACACTTTAAACTCCTGACAGTCGAAGACGACAGTAAAACAGAGTTAGACAGAAAGCTGCACAGGTGAACTCACTGCTCGCTCACCGTTACTTACGGGGAGGTTGTGGCCCRGGAGGAGGAGGTGGGGGGGAGGAGAATGGGTACTGAGGTTGCCCCATAAAGCCCATGAGCGGGGGCTGTGGGGGGGCGAACTGCTGCGCCATCAGAGGCTGTGGACCCCCTGACTGCGGTGGGGCAGGAGGAGGCTGGGCCTGACCGAACTGACCCTGCTGCTGCTGCTGCTGCCCGGACTGATCCTGACCGCCGCCGGGCTGACCCCCCCCACTGCGGGTGTGGTAGCCCCCACCGCCGCCGTTGTTGCTGCTGTTGTTGTAGCTCTGGTACTGATCCGAATCAGAGTTGTAGTTGTTCCTGTGGTCCCGGCTTCTGTCCCTGTAGGAGGAGGACGAGGAGCGGTTTTCGTTGCGGTTGTCTTTGCCGCCTCCGCCCGTGCGCATGCGGCGATCGCACTCATCCTGATACATGAGGTTGGGGTTGTTGGAGCTGCTGCCACGATAACGCATCCTGCCCCCTGCGTGGGAAAAAACAAAACAAAAGCTTTCAGACATGAGAGGAGATGAGATTTAAACTAATTTAGACACAATCTCAACTAATCATTCTCCTGATGTTTCACCATCCTCTTCAGACCTTTAAGAAATGCTTCAACTTTACACGGCCTAACTTCTCAACATTTATTGTCACAATGGGTCTAAATTACCCACCCGATCTCATCAGACCCTGCTTGTTTCATGAAGCCATAAAATCCTTCTTACCGCCTCCTCCTCCGCGACCGGAGTCCACCAGCTGAAGCAGTTTGGGGTTGATAGCTTGCCGGGCTTCCTCCAGCACCCGGACCAGATCTCGGGCCTGTCGCAGGTTTCCCGGGGTGAAGAAGGTATAAGCCGTGCCCTTGTTGGTGCTGCGGGCTGTGCGGCCGATACGATGGACGTAATCCTCGGAGGAGTTCGGATAGTCATAGTTGATGACAAACTTTACGTCTTCCACGTCTTTTGATGGATTGATTTTAAGAGCATGATGGGAAGGAAAAGAAGACGTGTGTCAGGAGGGGGAGTGGCTTTGGAAAATAATTATTTGGAGAATTTTAATGAATACTGCGATGAAATTAAAGGAATCCACGATTAGTTGTAACATTAGACTTTATTTGATTAACATATATTTTAACTGTAAAATAAAGACTGTAAAAATATGTAGGATGTTTAGTTTTGTAAATTTTTTAACTAAATTTTTCAAAATATATTCAAGGACTGCCATTTAATTTACACACAAAGCATTCTGGGTAAATGATGACATCGACAGGTCCTCGGTACAAGGC